TCGTTACCTAATTGGAAACGTCGAAGAGGGGGTCAACGCAAAACCTGACTCGACTCAGTCCGTCAGGACATAGAAGTGGTTCTTGGACCTTCGGTATTCGGTCTCCGACGCCGGAGGAGCGACTGGGTAGAGCTCTCCAGATTCGCTGCCGCCAATCGTCACGCATGGAGAGGTACCGTCCGTGACATCATAGAGGCCGGCTAGATCAGGCATGATCACAGCCGTAAAAACTATAAGGAAGTAAAGTAAGGAAAGGCTTATGAAGGCAGCAATGCCAAATTTAATTCTTTTTAATCGAAAGCATTTCGCTGCTGTAGCACAGCCATGTGAGGTTCTGAGAGAATAAAGGATCAAAATAAGGCAACAGAAAAATCAATATTTCTGCGCCAGGGCTTGCAGTCGCATAGTCAATACAAAAATAAACTCTGACACAAAGGGTCGCCTCTCCGATCTAACTGGTGGCCTCGCGCGCCTGGTAGACGTGAGCTTTGGCAGGTCCAAGGGCAATCTGGCGAGCATTGGCACCAAATAAAAGTGTAGAGAGTGTCTCGTGCAAGGACTTCGGTTCGGAGCTGACGTTCACAATGCGACATGCTGAAAATATGGACCAAAGTAATTTTTAATTATGGCCACAGACCCAGCAAAGCGGAGCATTTTTAGTATCCGTTTCCCTGGACACATTGGCAAAAACTGAAACCGTGAACAAGGCAGAATCTCATGTACTATCATATCTGAATGATTTTATTGATTTCACAAATAATTCGATACCGCTAAATGCGAAAGGACTTTAGATAGGAAGTAAAATCAAATAAGACTGACAATTGCAGTACGTATGCGATTGCGTACCAATTAACCCACACGATAGCACCTCGTTTGTGTGTCTATATCTCGGCAAGGTACTGATGTTAAGCGTGGGTTCGAGCATAATTTAATGGTGCTCCTTAACAAAAGTTATTCTGAAGGCCTTGAAAGTTAAAGTAGGTGTCCCAAGACCTGTTACTTAATATGAAGAGATAGACTTGAGGGACTTATTTTCCCTTCCAAAAAGTATGACAGAGATCCCAATTCTTTACAACAAAAAATGAACGATCTTTACATTTTACACTAACAAACCTATTTAGAAACTCTATGTCAACTTGCCACAAATAACCTGACTATAATATAGCATGGATCTGATGATCTCCTTAGGTAAGAAAACTTTTCGTCCATGAAGAGCTTATGAAAACAGGTAGGGACTTGCTGTCTACACGATTACTAAATCTGCTGGATGTAACAACACTGTTAAAACGCAATTCCGTAATATACTTGTGCATATAAACCCCACGAAAGTGCTTCCTTAGTTGTGAACATTTTTTCGGGAGACACAAGGTTAGTTATTGTTCAACGCCTTACAGGGAATGAATAAATGCTGTCTAAAAGTAAGGGACCCAAAATTATGGGGCTGCGTCAGAAAACACGTAAATGTCTACTAACTCCGTAGTGTGTATTTTGCGATTAGAATCTCAACACAGTAATGGAGCCATGTCCAACCGAAGGAGAGATCCGGTACTGATTTAGTATTT